ATAAAACTTTATTTGTTTAAGAATAAAAAAATGCACGTGTATTCAATTTTTATATTTTTTCTCAATAACTCATATTTTTTTGTATTTTTAACCTATTGCTTTTATCACGTTTTAAAAAGGTATTGAAAGACAAGTAAAATTAATTTTCTATATTACATTCCGAAGCTCTTACATTATTAATTAAAGAGAAATTTTACAGAAAAATGTCACATAAAACAAATAATATTTTTCTTACATTTTCTTAAAGTTTTTTTTTGAATTTACATTAAAGAAATTAAAAATTTCTAATAAATTATATGGAAAACGATATGCGCGCTTTTACAGTTTATTAATCAGTAGAAAGGCCATTGGCTTTTTTCCATACAAACGATAAAAATAAGACAGATATTCGAATGAAGTGTAAATCATCACGAATCGTCCAAGTTTCTCGAAGCGTCTGCACGTGCATTTCGTGTTGAGTAGCTAACGTGCAGCGATGCAAATCGAACACGTACGGAATTTGAGATTGGCGACCGGAGCATTAGTTTCCGGCGAACAATCCCCTTTCGGCAGCGCACCGTGACTATTGTTCACGCGTGAGATATTTGCGGAAAGCTACTATGTCCAAATATCGTCCGCTGTTCCGACAACTGTCTAAGTAATCCACGAGAGTCGTCTCGCAACGACTAGAGAGGATAAAAGCCGTTCGGGGCACGACATCGAATAATCGTACAAAGAACGGGATATTTATTGTAGTTTCGATCCAAAATATGTGAAAATCTATCTAGAATAAGTTCAAGAGATCGCGTGGTTTGCTAAACTTTAAAGACCACATCGATACTTTTAAAACTAACATAATTAAATATTTCTTTTTATTTAATATAAAAACTCAATAGCGCTCCAAATGATCTATACAGAAATACGTGTTTCACGAAAAAAAAAAGAATTAGCTAAATTTTAATTGTCCATATATTATTACAACTTGAAATTTAGTTATCACGCCTAAATTTTAGCTATGGTAATTAATATTTTTTAGCCATAGTTTAACGGAGAATGTTATAGCAAAAAATATTAGCTGTCATAGCTAAAATGTAGGCATATAACTATAAATTTTATGTGTAATATATGGACAGCTAAAATTTAGCTATGGTAGCTAATTCTTTTTTTCCGTGTTACTATGATATATGACACTGAATTAGATTTCGATTCAAATGTATGCCGCGTAATGTCGACTGAGGACTTCCCGCGACTTCTCGTTGAAAGTTTGCGGATTTTGTCTTCGATGTTCTCGTACCTCGTTTTTCATCTCGTCGCCTCGCTGGTAAAACGAACATCCATCATCCGGATCGGCGCGTAACATCGCGTGGACTCGTGACGAGCGAAATCGATATCCGTCAATTCCCAATGAGCGTCGATCAGACCGTTTCAGCAACCTCATAAATAATGAAGCGCATGCAGATGCCGCCGCTTGCGGGTAAACTATGTACGTTGGGTCGTTGTACGGCGAATTTGCCGGTTTTATGTAGCTAACGATGTGCGACATAGAGCGCCTTCATATCGTATCCTCTCGTTTCCCCATAATCGACTGAAATATCGCGCGATTATCTTGCACATACATAGGATCATAGTATGAAAAAATGATGAACATCCCATGTTAGAGGCTAAACGATGCCGCTTAGTTTTCTCAGCATAAACTCTATATAAAAAAAGTTTCGATAATAAAACATGTTTAAATGGGACAAAAGTGACTACACACGCCGAGATATACGGTTATTACAATATATACATCAAATATAGTAATTGCATGTTTTTTATAGAACTATTCATAAAAATTATATCTAAAGAATTCATTGTTTCAATATATGTACATAAAGATATATTATATTCTGGCGGCATATATTTTTTTGGACAGAAGCAAAAATATATATATATATATTACAAATGTATAAAATGTTTGTCTAATATAAATGTATGTATGTAATATATCTGATACAGAGTCATATATATATATACGTTGATTCGCCAGCAATAATATTAAAAAATATATATAGTGTTTAAATATACACAGTTTTAATTAACGCAAATACAACATAAATAAAAATCAAATTGATATAATAAAGAAATTGTCCGCAAAAAATTGTACGAAATTGTAGTACCAATATTTAAATTTGCAAAGAGAAATCACTATCTTTTAAATTTTGAAAGACTGAAAAAAAGAAAGATAACAGAGAGAAATAAAATAAGGAGAAAAAAAGAGGAAGAAAAATACGCGTTGTACAGTAAAGTAACAATGTATCGAATAAATAATATTCAATTTAAAATAATATTCAATTTAATTGCATTAAATGTGAAATTCTTTTATCTATATATTTTATTCATATTTATTCTTGTCTTAAAAATTTTATAAATCCACCAAATTCTATAATTTCGAAGATGAGATATTTTCATACGTTTACATCAGAGTTCTCGCTTTTGACGTAAATGCGATATGGATTGTGCTGTGTTAATGCCTAACGGGCATCACCAATAATCATCCTAGTAAATGTATCAATCCATACCATATGACAATTAACAGATGACAATACTGTTACATAATAATGATTCGCCATAATACAAACATCAGCCAAATTATATCATGATAAGTATCTTATTGTTTGCTGCCTCTATTACTGTCTGTAACACAATGCTGTACATATAATTGTATTTTCAACTTTTACAATTGTCATAATAATTGTTGTAGTATCTATTATTATATATATTATGAAACAAAATATTATTAAGCATTTATATACATGTATACAATATATACATATATATATATATATATATATATATATATATATATATATGTTTAATAATATATGTATATACTTATTTACCTATAATTATATTTATTATTAACAATTGCATGTGTGTTAAAAATAAAATATTTAAAAATATTTAATTTATAAAAAATCTTATATTGACCGTAAGATTAAAGAATAAAAATGTGTTTAAAATAGAAAAAATAAATATTACTAAATTAATAAGTCTTATACATAATAACATATATTTTATAAAAGAATCTTCGCGCATAGATAAATGTATACTTTTCGTTATAATAACTATTTAAAGTAAAGTACTTTGATAACGTGTAGCTTGATGTGCAATAAAGTTTAAACGATTAATACGCGAGAGTATACTTGTATAACATTATTGATGTGACAATGTCAATGCAACATCAATGACAGGCTAATCAATCTCCGTCAATGGTTCATTCAAAAATCGATTGTTTTTATAGCACTGACAATTATTGTACATTAATGCTTTTAGCATTGAACGCTCAGGTCTATGGTACCGGCTACCTTGCGCAGGAAACTCAATTTGCAAAATGAAATTTATGGTTGACCGATGATGATCGTCGCGAGATAGAAGATAACCAATCCGCTTGATGCGGCACTACCTCGCGGCTTCGGATCGCTATTGCTGGTGGCTGACCTCCGATTCAGCAGCACGTTGCACGAATTAGTCTCTCACGTTTATTCGCAAAGGTATCATGCAATCATGCGTGTGCATCGTACGCCGTGATATGCGTGACTAAGCCGCCTATCTAAATCAAGCTCCCTATCTTTCCATTTAATAGATACACCGAATGTTATCCAGGTCACTACATCTTTTTGATTTCCGGTACACCAATAATATACAGCAACTATCCAATAGATAATTTTTTAAGAAATAAAATTAGTCGATTACAAGAACTTTCAGATATTAAGAGCATATATTACACATTTCATATACTGGAAAAAAGTCTTGTTGCATTAACAAAAATTCTGTTCAAACAAAACAGAATTACTGGGTGAATCTACCTTTTAATGGAAACAAGATGCTTGCTGCATCATATATACTGTAATTCTGTTTTCTCCATTTTCGAACAGAATTATTGTTAATGCAACGACTTTTGTCTAATGCACGTTTTATCTGTAACAAAAACATATATGTATAATAATACACACAAATAAAAATATTATTATCCTCTTTTCGATTTATCTTATTAACTGTGATATTCAATTGTGATCAATTATATCATTTTGACAGAAGAAAATATTAAAAATATTCTTTTTTTTCTGTTAAATAATATATATATATATATATATATATATATATATATTGAAAGAAATCATAAATTTATATTTATTCAAACTATACGTTTGTTTATACGACAATTTTATTTAATGATATGAATTCAATGCAAATGGGGTGAAAAATCCGAACTGTGCGGAGAAGTCTTTGAGAAGGAGAAGAAAGGCCTGATAATTGCGTTTGACTGCCGTTTTCAACGTGCGCGTTGGGAAATTACGCTCGGGAACTCTGACGATGCATTAAATAGCTGGCAGACATGTTCGCGCGCAAAACAATGAGAGACTATAGAGATCGTTTGCGACACGCACGTCGACCGACCAGGGATTTACGGTGTCCCGGGTGCTTTCCGTGGTCTTTGTTTTAACACGAGACCAAGACGTTGCAGGCTCCTCGAATCAGTATAGTAACAACACTGGAGTTGACTCTCGAGGATTTTCGGCGTTAAACATTTACAACTTTTTTACTTTGAATCTCTTCGCCACTTAAAAACTTGCGGAAATTATTTGGTTACGAATTAGCATTCTTTTCAATTATATATTAGTATAAAATTAATGAATAGAAAAATTAGTTATATGTTTTCGTTAAAAAATTGTTTCAGCATGTTTCTTTTTATCTATCGATGTTAATAATATTATATACGCAATATATCATAAAAATCGGCAACACACACATAGAAAACTTTCAAGAATGATTTATATACATAAAATGTCATTGTACACATGCAATATAATAATGTTTAAAAATTATTTACAATTTTTTTAATGTTTGATGAAAAATTAAATGAAACAAATATATTAGATAAACGTAATAATCATAAATTAATAGTTTGATAAATGGGAATGTCAACTCGCTGTCATTTATCGCAACGTGTTACGATTGTAGGCGTACCGTTTATGTTCCAGGTGTCCTGGATGCGCAAACGCGATATGCATATTCTGAGCGCGGGCATCTTTATGTACACGTCAGACCTGAGATTTCAAGTGATTCATGTGGACAAGTCGGAGAACTGGACGTTGCAGATCAAGTCGCCGCAGGAGCGCGATTCCGGCGTGTACGAGTGCCAGGTCAGCACCGAGCCGAAGATGTCACTCAACTACAGTCTCAACGTGGTTGGTGAGTGCTACTTGAATTATTCACGCATCTAGCTTGGTTACGTAAATCGCGACCTCATGTCGAGGTACCTTGAAGTCTTGCTTTCGATCGGCGGAGCAGACTTTACGGCCGCCGATCGGCTGCTGTCTCATGGAAAAGATTGTTCGCGACATGAGTTGAGACCGAAGAGGTTAAAGTTTAAACACTTAAGTGCTTCGTAGCAGAATTATCCTCTTAATGCCATGTCGTGTCACGTTGCGAAATCCTCGTTTCGATATTACAGCAAATGGACCATCGATTTCGAAAGATACATATCTCTAATGAATATACATGTGTTGGCTTTATTTATACGACATTTAATGAGTATAGTCCTTCTAATGCAGATTGTAAATACAAAATTAAAATTATTGGTATTCTAAATAGAGTAATTAATTAGGTTGATCGAATGCTATATTTTTTACAAACATAACATTTATGATACTGCAATAGATGTTAATATATTTATCACAGCGTTATTACTTCTTTTCTGATAAATTTATCTTTTTTTAAAACTGAATCTATTTTATTGTCAAAGATTATGCATAGAATTAGGTCGTATAAAATTAAAAATTTATGTTAGTAGTGTAAGTAAACGTCTACAGTGTGAATAAATATACGACTCATCCCGTATAAAAGAAACAGCTTATTTGTACTATATGTATAGAGACATTTATTTATTAGCATAAACTTTTAATTTTATATATACAACTCAATTCTATTGATGCATAATCTTTAAAAGTAACATAATACAGTTTTAAAAAAGATAAATTTATCAGAAAACAGGTAATAACGCTGATAAATATTTACAAATTTACATATATCTCTATGACGTCGTCATAAATGTTTTATGTTTCTAAAAAAGATAGCATTCACAAATTAACCTAATTAATTATCCTGTCTAGTATACCAATAATTCTAATTTTGTATCACAACAATCTGCGTTAAAAGGACTATACTCATTGAATATTGTATTAATAAAGAAATTTGCAACACATATAACTTTATCCTATGTATTCTACTCCAAAGCTTTCCGCGAAGTTCTTAGCAAAGTTACCTCTCTTGAAGTTTTACACGAATTATTCTGTAGATTCCCGCGAACTCCTTTCACAGCGCAGACGCCCTTGCATCTTGACATAAAGACTTTCCTCGTCTTGCGTAAGATGAAATATTTTGGCTTACGTAAACGCGAAAGCTTGCCTCCGAAACACGCGGTTATTATGCGCAGAGGACTAAAAGCGAGAGAAGGCAGGAACGCAATGGCGTGCAAATATTACAAGCGATAATGAAAACATCAGGGAGTAATTATTTCTGGATACCAAACAGTCTTCTAGATATCAGCAATTATGCATGTGCGTGTTAGATATGTAAGAAAATTTCCCTGGAAAATATTTCTCTAATAGACTCTTCTGTCGAATTTGCCGTCGTTTTTCGCTGGCAAAAGATACAGTATGAAATTTATTTATACAAGAATTTTATATTCATTCTCAAAATATTTGAACTAATTAAATGTTAAGAAAAAATATATAGAAATAATACAATATAATTTCATAATTATCCAATTAAAGAACTAGAGTTAAACATTTTTAATTTATAGTTTGATTATCAAGATAATATTGACAACTAGATAAATAAAAAGTTCTGGTAAGTAAAACACCCGATTAATTATTAAAATATTTTATGATATTAATAAGATATGCGGATTGCTATAAAAAAGGATATGATATGGCATAATCTAATTCTATGGAATTTGCATTTATTCGAGAAAAATTTAAATGGATGCTTTATTAGTAAGTTATTTAAGATACAATATTAAAAGATTTCAGAAATGAAATAAGCATTCTCTTAAGTAAATAAACTAAATTACTTGTATTAAATACATTTAAAACATACTACGTTTTTAACAAAATAAAACCAAAAAAACTTTCTCTTTTCCATATTAAAAAATATGATAAATAGAACAGTTGTATATAAATAAGATTTTTCTTGCATTAAAGTTTGATTAAAAAAAACTATAAATTACAAGAAATTGAGATAGTGAAAATGTGTAACTTATAATATTTCAATTAAAATGTAAATATTGCAGAAGAAAGCTTTGTCAAATCAAATGATTTTATTATATATATAGGTATATATATGAGCTTTCTCGAATTAATTATATCAATCAGAAAATACATATATTAAGTATATGTATATTATTAAAAAATTGTAGGTATCTGGTTGAGAAGAGAATTCCAAGCGCTTTTACGAAAATTGAATTAAATTTCATCTTCTGCATGTTTCGCGTAATTTAAAATCACTGTCCAGCGGTACTAGCGGCCATAATGCTGACTGTCCGGTATTTATGATTTCGGCGTGCCTGGCATTTTTGTCTCGGCGAAGAATGACTTATACCCCTCTTAATTAAATGCCTGATTAAAGCGAATCTCCGCGGTGGAATCTACGGATTCGAAATTACGGATGTGAGAATATATTCGTGGAATGAGCTTCTCATATATTTTTCTTGCATTTTTTAATGATAATACTTAATAATGACATGTACGTAAAAAAGCGAGAGAGGAAGGGGAAGGAATTGTCTTTAAAAAATATACTTTAAAGAATTATTTATCTTTACTCCTAAGAGAAAATAAGTTTTGAATTATATCATTTTCAAAACATGATATATATATATATATATATATATATAAAAGTTTAAAATATGTATAATAAGTAGCTATATTGTTTGTACTTTTACATATTTAATGGTGTGTGATCTATGATCTCTAATTTTTTATCTTTGGTCTCTTATCTATAGTCCGGTTTTTAGTCTCTGACCTATGAGCTCTGGTTTAAATAGTCTCTGATCTTATATTAAGCTACCCCCTTATATCGGAAAATTTACATTATTTTATTTATTTAATGCTAGGAAGACATCTCTGCATGTGCGATTGACTATTTTATTCATATCTTTATGTCTTCCATCACGCCGATATTCAACAGTATATCGCTGACATAGCTATTTGGTTGAATGAAACATTGCATTAACAGAGCTTCCGGAATCACTAACGTTGAATCATAACACATAATACATAATGCAATATGGGATTTCATTAAAAGTCATAATCGTCATAGCTCGAGGGAATATAAAGGAACACACTATTATAATTTATAATATTAATTATACACAATGTGAACAATAATAAATAAAATATATTATCTTTTATTAGCTATAATGAGATGAAAAAGTGGAAAAAGTATTAATTTCTTAAAAATATCGCGATAAAATAAATTCTACAAAATAAATCAATTTTAATTTTTGAATTCAGGATTATTGAATATTGAATTTTCTTATATATTTTTATTATGGTATTTCAATATGTTTATACCGCCTGGTTTTTGTCAAAAAATTTTTACCATTTGTGATAGTAATGGAATACGGATATACTAGAAATGTCGATAATTGGATATGTCAGTGTTTACCGTATCTCGTTATATCTTTGTCATTTACGCGATATCATTGCCTAGGAAATCCTTGCTGGCCAATTATCATTTTCACTCTCTTGTCGAGCTCGCGATTATGTCACTGTATATGATCGAAGAGCATTCATTAACGCAACATCCTAAAGCTATCAGCGTAAAATCTATTCTATGTTATATGTATGTTACAAGCTAGGATAGCTTTGTTTGCAATGTCGTTTCATATTTAATACTAAATGATTCGCAGAATTAATATTTTGTATAAAAATATTTCGATATATTGTTAACTACAGAATTATTGTTAAAATTTTTATAATATCAAAATTGTGAAAATTATATTTCAAATGTGCATTGATAATGCGAGCATTTATGTGTCACGCTTGAATGTAGAATGGATTAAATTCAGTGCATATTTGCAAAACGCACATTCGATAATAGTTAAGTAGAATTTAATTCCATTTTGAGCAGCATTTACGAGCATGACAAATTTGTTCATGTTTTCATTTTGTATGTAAGTATTGCATTGCTCTTTACGAGTGCATAATAAGTTATGTGAAATATAATAATATCTATATATAAGCATAATAAACGTTTATCAAATGAAAATAAAACGACATTGTGCTCTTTCGAATTTCACTATCGGAGTGAATTGCATATAATTCACGTTTTAAACCAACACACGCGAACTCGCCTAAAGCCAAATAGTACGAATTCGAGAAGTGGGTTAGGATTTATTTTGACAGAGGCAGGGTGAGATGCTTAACAAACGCGCGGGAAAAATAATGGCAAAAGATGCATTAGTGGTTAATTCGGATATATTTGCGCGGCTTGATTCGGCGAAGACATATGATGCTAAAAAAAATGTTAAGTCGAGAATATATATGCCGGAACGGGGATTTTGAAATGTGAATTACTCTTTTTTTAGAATATGTTTTGATTCGAAAATGAAAAATGGAATTACGAAAAAAAATTATATTAAATCTCCTAATTTATATAAAATGTATATTCATGATTTCCAACGAATAATGTGTTTCACGATTAGTTGCTAAAATAAAACGCATGAAATGCGTGAGTACATTTAATATTTAGTACTAGTTTCTAAATAGCTTACTATTATAATTTTTTATCATAAATTCTCTTATCTCTTATCATTCTAAAATAACTTTCTATCTAAATGTGTATGCAAGTATAATATTTTATTGTACATATAAAAGACGTTTTCTCATTATGTTACTTTTCAATCAAATTTGTCCTACTTTTATCACATACAGTCATTCAGTCGATCGTCTCATCCGATGATCTTTAAGACAAACCTATCAAAACGGTGCAATTCTTTTCTTTTTCACCAATTTTCTTCTCTTTACTTCGTACTCTATTTCTCGATCCGCAGCCAGTAAAAACTTTCGTGTACCCAGTTTTTTATAGAACGGATTTTTAAAATTGATCTCACCGTCGACTTCACGTTTTATGATTTTACGGACGAGTAAACGTACGAAAGAAAGACGATTTATTTCGCGCCAACTTTCTTC